TGCCTGTATACGTCCGTTCATACTGTCATTGAGGCTGCATCTGCATATATCATTTAAAGAAGGCATCCATTTTTCTCAAAGAGACCTGGTTCAAATTAAAAAAGTAGAAAAAAGACTCAAAGTCTCGGTCTCAACGTTTATACAATGTTAAACTGTTACACGTGTTTCGCTCATATACGAGCATCATCAGACCTAACAAGAAAGAACCTAAATAAATAACAAATAATAAAAAGGTCGTCATAACTTACAAATACAATTAAAATTAATCCAAATACACGTTCACATTTTACAATTAAAACAACACTGAGACGAGGCTGAAATGACCGGCAAATATTTGTCAATAAAAAACAAACAGGAACAAAAAATCAAACAAAATCAAAAATAAAATAAAAAATAGAATAACCCAGCGGGATTTGAACTCTAGGCTCCCGGGTGGGAACCAGAGAGCAAAGCCACTAAGCTACCACACTACTGAAGTAATTTTTTTTCTGAGATGGAAAAATCGTGACCTGTGGCTAATAAGTGGTTCGCAAAAGCCGATTTAGTCTCAGTTATATCCGAATTTCTGTATTTATTGACAAGGCTCAGATGTTCCTGTACTCGGGTGGAAATCTTTCTACCTGATTGCCCCACATAAACCGCTTAACATTCGCTACAATTCAAAGAATAAACTCCCGGGAGTTGATGGAAATAACTAGAGCTAAAAAAAGTCCGGTTCTTGTGTGCCTGAATGACATTTTTAATTTCGGACCAACATTAATTTTCAATAATCTGAAAGATTAATTCGACCGTGTATTATTGTTGAGTTCTGAATCTTTATTTCAGTAGTATGGTAGCTTAGTGGCTTTGATCTCTGATTCCCACCCGGGAGCCTAGAGTTCAAATCCCGCTGGGTTATTCTATTTTTTATTTTATTTTTGATTTTGTTTGATTTTTTATTCCTGTTTGTTTTTTATTGACAAATATTTGCCGGTCATTTCAGCCTCGTCTCAGTGTTGTTTTAATTGTAAAATGTGAACGTGTATTTGGATTAATTTTAATTGAATTTGTAAGTTATGACGACCTTTTTATTATTTGTTATTTATTTAGGTTCTTTCTTGTTAGGTCTGATGATGCTCGTATATGAGCGAAACACGTGTAACAGTTTAACATTGTATAAACGTTGAGACCGAGACTTTGAGTGCATATATCATATTGCGTTATGTTTTCTTATTCTTCTTTAAGGACCAAGCTAAATTCATTTAATGAAGCTGGTAGCGCTTCGCAATCTCTAACCCTCCTGCCAAGCATTTCCCAAACGTCGAACATGATTTGGTGTTTTAAAGTTAGGGTTCATAGTGGTTTATAGTTCATAATAATCTCCAAAGCCGCCTTGTCATATTGAAAAAAAATTCAATTGAAAAAATGGTAAATTGTTGGTGGCGAGTTCATTTCGCCCTTAAAAATTAACCAAGGCATGTATTGACATGATCCAACAAACAAAATGCTCGGGAAACACGGTTCTGACCGTAAAATTCCATTTTAGGAAAATTTACAAACGACATTATTGCACAGATGGTTTTAAAGTTAAGGTAAAAAAACAACCCCACGATTAACCCTGTATAATATGCCAATCACTAAAGTTTATAAAAAACTGAGTTAACGAATTAAATTTGATGTAATTATATACAGTTTACTAAAAAAATTATGAAAATAGGGCTAAAAATAACAAAAATATAACACTTTAAATTTGACCAAAAATATCTCCGTTGCTTTTTTTTGTATCTGAGTGTATATTCGGATCCGGCAAAATAGTCGTGGACCGGAAAATACAATTAGAATTAAATACAACTGTCGGAACGTGGGCCAAGCCGGCGCCGTCTTCGGCACTGATTTTGCCGGCGTGTGTGAAAGCGCTCTTATGGTGCGTTTAGACTTGAGCACGCACGCACTGATCCTCCGCGAGTGCTCAAGTGTAAACGGTTGTGCGCACACGCTCACTCTGAATCTGTCTGTGCGCGAGCCGCCGCGGACGTGAGCCGTCTGGTGTCGGTTTATGGTCCGTGCTCAAAGGGATTTTATGTGTGCGCGAACGCTCAGTTTGCAACGGCAATTTGTTTTGTCAGCGTTCGTGCGTGCGTGAGTGATTTTTTTTTCGTTTTCTTTATTAAAATTATGGAGTGCATCAATGAATCTTCGTTATTATTAATTGAAGAATATGAAAAGTTACTTTTATTATGGGATGTTAAACATTCTTTGTATTATTAAAAAATAAAAAAAAAACGCATGGTAAGATCTTGTAAATAAAATTAATATTGAATATGTCGATATTAATGAAATTGCTATTCTAAAATTTGTATCTTTTGTTCGTAATTTTTGGTGTTATTAAATTTTGTAAATATTTAAAGTCGGGTCTGGTCATTCTTGTAAAGTTTTTGAACTGCTCAAAGCCCTCCTCAGACACAGTTGTTGCAGTAAATTATATCGATTTATAAAAATTTGGGTTTGCCACCAGCGACGATGTTTTCGATTTTTCTCCTTTTTAATAATTAAGCTGTGCATAACAATGATTGCAGCCTCGACTATTTCTTGGTCGTTCATTATTTTCGCCAACACAACTCTGCTGTGCGCGCACAAATGGATCACTTCATTCGTCGGAAAATAAGTTATAATTTGAACGGAGCCGAGAGCGCGAACGAATGCCATGCGCGCACGCTCAGCTCGTGCGTGCTCAAGTCTAAACGCACCATTAGAGATCACACTTGATAACGGTCAGTGATACTCCTGACCGAAACGTTGTGTAAGCAAAATAAATGAAGACACTGGAAGTCCAAAATTCTTTTAGTTTTAATAAAAAACATTGTTATCGTGACCTTTGTAATGACAATCTAATTTCTGTTGGGCTGGAACGTTCGTTTTTATTTGTTTCATAATTATACTAAAATATGTAGTTAAAGCAGGCGCCCCAGGATAGAAGAATTTGATATTAACAGCGTCATAATGGCCTTTACAAAGATCTTGATAAATATTTGTCGGGCTGGATCGTATGTATACAGGGCAGTTCACCACATACGACACGGAGTATTGTAGCTAAATGATAGATTTTTACAAATTGTGAGTTTTGGGTTCGTTGAAGGACTATTAGAGCTACAATTTAAAAATATTTTTACAAGATACAGAGTGTCCCAAATAAATAAAAAATATTAAAGTTGCATTTTTTTAAATAGAATACCCTGTATATTATTACATTTTTAGTTTCTACGATTAAAATAAAGGTAAATTTGATTAAGGTTTATTATACTTAAACCTTACCGTTTTTGAAATATTTTCAGTTTTGTGAAATTGCAGTTAAAATTTTAAGGCTTCATTTCTCCAATAAATAATTTCTAGCTTTAAACGGCTATATCTTGTTTAATTTAAATGGAACACCCTGTATATTTTAGGAGAATCAGATGAACAATTTAATTGGCTATCAAGTTGTATTATGCCATTTTTTACCTATCCTTTCAAGTTTTCGTAGAAAATGCATTTTCTTATAATTTAGACCTCATTTATCAATATACCCATGGAATATTGACATTTTAAATTGTTTTTAAAGCGACAAATGTACAAAATGTACAGGCTAGTAATATTATCGTTTTTAGCAAAATGATAATATTACTAGCCCATTTGTATGCAAGAAGAGAACTATGTAAATCTTTATAAAAGAATATACCATTATAATTAAATATACCACCATTATTTCCGCCCAAATACTAATTAATTACATACTTAATTATGTTAGTTAATAAATTATTCTAAATAGATGTGGATTTGAATCAGAAATCAATATAATAATAAGTTATGAAAATGAATGTCTCTGTTGTTATAAATATAAGCTTTTGTCAAAAAATGAAATATCATTTTTAAGGTGTTACTTTTTACCACATTGCCTAATACACATACAAAATTCAGTTTTTTAGTATTTGGAGCAATTATAAATCAACGCAACAGTTCAGTTAATGTAGTTCGAATACTGGAATACTGGAATCATATTAATCATTCTTTAACAAATATTTAAACAGTTTTTTATATTTTTTTTTAATGAAATAAACGAAGTATATCGACAATATTGGTATCTGTACTCTTTAAAAAGTTGCCACATCTTTAAAAATAATCTAAAATGTCAGTATTCCATGGGTATATTGATAAATGAGTTTTAAATTACAAGAAAATGAATTTTCTACGGAAACTTGAAGAGATAGGTAAAAAATGGTATAATACAGTTTGATAGACAATTAAATTGTGCATCTGATTCTCATAAAATATACAGGATGTTCCATTTAAATTAAACAAGTTATTGCCGTTTAAATCTAGTAATTATTTAAAATAAAATTTTAGACACTCTGTATAAGGTAGTATAATTTTTATTATTGCAACACAATAACTGATCAATAAATAAACTTCAGTAAATATTTAGTATTAAAAACTTTGATACCCTTGGAGAAATGAAGTTTTGACTGCAATTTCACAAAATTGAAAATATTTCAAAAACGGTAAGATTAAAGTGCGGTAAACCTTAATTAAATTTACCTTTATTTTAATCGTAGAAACTAAAAATGTAATAATATACAGGGTGTTACATTTAAAAAAATATAACTTTATATACTCCGTGTCGTATGTGGTGAACAACCCTGTAGATTAAAGATAGGCAAAAAATGACCACCTGTGATTTTTTCAGTGAAATATAATAATTCAGTGATTCATTTAAAAATGTGAGTGCGAATAGAAAAGCAAATCAAGTAAAGATCCATCTCATCAACGCTTTCAGTTGAAAATTGCATATCAGATAGCGGGGTTAAATTGTTTGATAAAGGGGTAGCTGTGGCAACACTGCCGGTTACCACTTTTCCTTTCTCTAGTTCGTGCGTCATGGCCGTGTGTTATGGTCTCGGATTTTTACTACCAACGCGATTAAAAAAGTTTCACTTCAAAAAAGTGTGATAGAAATATAAAGTTTTGTTTCTGTCAAACAATCTTACCCTCCATGTTCCTCTATAATTAAAACATTTGCCACAGAAATGGCATTCAAATGGTTTTTCTCCAGTATGAGTTCTGCAGTGTACTTCATAATGAGCTTTAAGTGAGAATGGTTTATTACAAGTTTCACATTTAAACCTCTGCGGAGTTGTGCCTAAATGGTTCATTTCATGAGTTTTCAAAGCTGCTTTGGTTTTGAAAAACTTATGACAATAACTACAATTAAATGGCCTCTCTCCTAAAATATTTTTCATTGTAATGCAAATTAATTTAAAATCTCAAAAATAAATAAAAATTACCAGTATGACCCCTTATGTGTCCATCAAGTTGAATTTTTGTTCTAAAACTCTTTGCACAGTAATTGCAAAGGAAATTTTTCAGTTTTGGTCCAGTTTCTTTTTCCTTGATACGCTTTCTGTACTGTATTTTCACTCCCTGGTGGATAAGCTGATGATTTGCAAAACCAGATCTACTTGCAAACACTTTGGGACATAAATCACATTTCAAGTTTAGTCTAAAACCAATGACATGTCATTGTCTAAAACCATTGGTCTCGTTCAGGGAACACAGCACCTGACATTCAGCGTAAATTTTCGCTGACCGTTATTTGTGACATTGCTCGGTATTCCCTAAACGGCAAAAAGCAGCTAAAATATACTCTGTTAAAAAAAGCAGATGACGTCCATATCAATCCATTTATTTAACTAAAAAAGTTTCTAATATTTTTTAAGTTAATACTGTGGATGGGTTTATACAGGGTGGTCCGAACTGTATTCCGGAAACTTCGGCAGCATATTCTGCAGATAAAAATAAGTAAAAAAGTTCGTATAAATGTATGTCCTAAAATGCTTAGTTTGGGAGATACAGGGTGTAGAAGTTACATATTTATTTCAATTTTTTCAAAATAATTTCTGAAGTAACGTCAATATTCAGATAAAAATTAGTGTCTGGGAGTTTTTTGACATGAGAAATTTGATTTTGATGTCAATATGACTCCTACTAGTAGAGGGCGCCACCTACGTATTTTTTAACTGGTTTGAAGAGTAATAACTTTTCGTCCGTACCTGTATAAAACTACTGAGTAAAAAATATACATTTACGACGTTTTTTTACCTAAAAAAGGTCGGAATCGAAATAATGGTGTAATAAGGTGGAATCGAAATAATCCATATCTGTCATCATTGACATAAATTAAACATGTTGAGTAACTAGTTATTAGACTGAAATCATAAATTTGAAGTGTTTTGGGGCCAAAAGTTCAACAGAAACTGTTTCATCATTTTTTCGCAGAAAAATTTATGATTAATTTAAAAAAATACAAATTTTCCAAATTTATTATTTCATTGAAAATAACCATCTACTTAAGTGTTTATTTTTCGTCAATATTGACACGTATTGACTATTTCCATTCTAAATATCTTGAGAACGGTTGCTCGTAGCGATTTTTACAAAGAGATATTTTTGACGTAAAAACTCACAGAGATATATATTTTTTTCCTCGGTAGTTTTATACAGGTACGGACAAAAAGTTATTACGCTTCAAAACAGTTAAAACACATGTAGGTGTGACGCTCTCCACTAGTAGGCGTCATTTTGACATCAAAATCAAATTTCTCATATCAAAAAACTCCTAGACACCAATTTTGATCCAAATATTAACGTTATTACAGAAATTATTTGGGAAAAATCAAAATAAAAATGAAACTTCTACACCCTCTATCTCTGAAACATTTAAAAAACATAAATTTTAGGACATACATTTATACGAACTTTTTTACTTATTTTTATCTGCAGAATATGCTGCCGAAGTTTCCGGAATACAGTTCGGACCACCCTGTATATAAATCCGTCATGGCGTCATCTCTTGATGTTTTTAACCAGTTTCATTGGTTTATTTCAAAAACGACAGATCATATTTCAATATTATTGGTTTGACAGAACGATGAACGACAATCGGACGCCGATGCGTATGAACTCGACTTAAGACTTTTGAGAGTTGTCAACTTTGAATAAAAAGATTAAGGAAGGAGTATAATGCTATCCATGTATTCATGGTGGGCGGAAAAAGGACTCTAGGGTGGGGATCAATGACAGTTCTGTTTGACGATTCATTTGACACATTTGAATTTGATTTGAAATTTTGTGGTTTTGTCAGTCTTTACTGAGCTTATTTTATGTTATTTATTATTTATTCTACTACTGATAGTTGTATAAAGGTAGTAAATCTAGATGGAAATTGTGGCAGAACTTAAATTAACAGTGACACTATTACGATTTATCGAAAAAGACTGTAAAATAGTTGATTGTGTAGCGTGCGGTACATCTCGGTCAAAAATGAGTAAAATAATTAATAACTTTTCGCCAGTAAGTGACTATATACTATTATACAAGTATGTATAATATACATACTTGTAGTAAACCGATCATTTATGAAATTCACTTAAATTAGCTAATTATATATTTATATATACATAACGCAGCCATATTACAGAAATATTACAGAATTTCAAAAAAATGCTTTTTTGAAAAACTAATTATTGTATTATTTTCAAAATCTTGCATAAAAATATTACTTAACAAAGGAGAGAGAGGTGATCCCATTGCCATACCGAAAACTTGTTGAAAAAAATCATTATTTAATTGGAAATACGTAGTTTTAACACAAAGTGTCAACAATTCCAAAATACTATCTATGTTTAATTTTGTTCTATCTATTAAATGTGTATCTTGTTCTAATCTATCTCTAACTATTTTAAGTGATTTATCTACCGGCACATTAGTGAAAAGACTAACAACGTCAAAACTAACCATTAAACTGTTAGGTGTTATATTAATTTTTGAAACTTTTTCTATAAAGTGTGGTGTGTTTTTAATGTATGAATCGGTGTTATTTGCAATCGGATTTAATATGTCTAGTAAAAATTTTGCTAACGGATGGCATGGAGAATTTATACTACTGACTATAGGTCTAAAAGGTATACCCTGTTTGTGTATTTTCGGTAAACCGTATAAATGAGGTGGTTTACTGTAACGGGGTGTTAATAATGTTCGTTGTAAGTCTGTTAATATATGTTTGTATTTGTATAAAGTTCTGTATATTTTTCTTTCAATAGTTGGTGTTGGGTCTTTTGAAAGTTTTGTGTAACTACCGTTATTTATAAGATCTGTAATTTTGTTATTATATTCGTCTAAATCTATAACTACTGTAGCATTACCTTTGTCTGTTTATAATATTTTAATTGTTTTGTGTGTTTTTAAATTTTTAATAGCTAACCTTTCTTCTCTATTAATATTAGGTTTAAATTTAAAGGTCTTTCTAGAATAATTTTTGACCTAATACGATATTCATCCGCGTGTTCTAAAGGTAATTTTTGTGCTATATTTTCAATAGAAAAAAAACAATGAATACAGAACAAACAAAAAATGTAATATACCAAATACCCTGTGAATGCGATAAATTACATTGGTGAAACATCTAGACCGTTAAATGTTAGAATTAAAGAACATAAAGATTATTTAAGAAAGGGAGATTTTCACAAATCTAAGATTTGTCAGCATTCATGGGACACAGGGCACAGAATAAATTTTAATAACGCCAAAATTATAATGAAAGAAGCGATAGCCTCTAAAAGAAAAATAAAAGAGGCTTTTTTAATTCAATCTAATAAAAATAAATGTATTGCTCATGCATCTGTAGATGTTAGTAATGTATGGCAATCGCTTCTTTGATTTTAAAGAACATAACATAAATAAACATAATATACGTAAAATTTGAAAATAATCATACAGAAAGTTTGGGCTTTTCGGTTTTACCTTATTAAGTAATTGTTATCAGGTAGTAATAGTTAATTTTGAAGTTTAACTTAATATAATGTCATTTTAACAGAACGTCAACGGTTTCTTGTAGACGTCATATACAAGTAGACTGTGGTAGACGTATCTGTTTTAAAAAGTAAAGTGTTCTCGAATAGTTCAATTTAAATATTTTAAATAGTTTTTTTCTTTATTCTTTATATTTTTTTTATTCCGACGACGGAAAGAGAAAACTTTCCGAAACGTTAAGCATTTTTTTCTTTGTTAGGCAAGTTTTTATAACTGTAAACACAACTTCTGACAAGCAGCGTCCGTTTAGGTTTAACACAGAAGTGTTTACAAAAAATAACTATTTTATTTTGTAGATTTTTCTTGCAGTGCAGTGGCGAAATACCCATAAAGGATTTTTTTGGATAGAAATGATAAATATTTTGCATTTTGCACTTTGGACTGTGTTATTACGTGTGTTTCGTGTTTTTTTAAAATTAAGTGGAGGAAAACTCGAGGGAAGTGTTTGCCAGTTTGCCAGAGATTATGGCCAGGGAGTTGTATTAGCCACAAATAAAGTTTGTATATCATCTTGTATCTATATGGTACCAAAAACTGGAGTATCTGTAAGATAGCAGCACACGATAGGTAAATAATAAATTTTAGTACTGCAGAGAGATAATGTCAAAAGATACTGGTTTACAAAAATTAAAATTAAAGTTAATTAACCAACTTTTAAGGTACAAAATTATATAAATAATATACGATATAGATGGATAAAGAAAAAATAAATGACTAATGCCGACAAAGATGACTAATGCCAACAAAGGCAAAGCTATGCCGCCGAAAAAAGAAAAAAACGTTTTCTAATCATATTTCTTTTCGCATTTCTTGTTTTTTTTTCGATTTGAACTCCGAAAAAAAAGGATATTCGTCGCAAATTTGTATTTATCCGGTCGCACGATCGCACAGCTGTTGTGTTGGAGCCATTGATCATTCGCATGCGTTTTGAATTCGGTCCTTTTAAATCGGTGATTTAAAGGGACCAAATGCATCCTTGTTTAATTTAGTTTCTCTGTCTTAATGAAAAATCTGAAATAATATGTGGCTATAGAGACTCGCTCGGTTTATATTCAATAGTAGAATTTAGTTTAAGACTAATAAAAAATATAGAATCTCCTTTCAATGCGCAGTAGTGAACGCAACGTTTACCGGCAGCCAGACGGTCCGCACGCTGTTCCAGAGAGCATAGTAAAAGATATAACAAAGAGACAGATTTCTTAAAATACTTGTTTTCCCGACGTTGCTAGCTCTCGTACTATAATCTACATATATAAAATGCTAATGTTTATCTGTGTCGTCTCTACTGAAGTAACAACTTGCTCTAGAAAGTTGCTTTTTTTACTAAAAGATAGCTAATTGCCTCTTCTAAAAACTGTCGTCGCCGGATTTTTTGTTTTTCATTTAATTAAACAAAAAATAAAAAGTTTTTTTTCCTGATGTCGCACAGAGGTCATTTTAATTTTTTTAGGAATTAATAAATCGAAAAAATAAGGTATCAAAAAATCTATGATTGATGTTGTGTCATTGTCAATAAACCAGAGACATGATTAAACAACAATATTTTTTTGCTTGGCTTAGGCGCAACGTCAAAGTTGATTTTCTCTTAGATTGTTTACTTTTTTTTAAAGTTGTAATTTGCATAACTAGGCAGCGATTTTTGAGACCAAGTTGGTGTTTTTAAGTATTTTTGAGTAATTTTATAATATATTTACGTCCCGTGTAAAATAGAAAAAAGGATTTCTTTTAAACACTTTTTTACAGTTTTGTAAAAAATTATTTTTCTTTAGCAAGACTGGATTTTGTAATTTGCCAAATACAGGATTTATATTTATTTTCGAAAGACGTTTTTATTATGAGTAATCCTTTTATCTAAAGAGTCATTCTAAAATTGGCTGCCAAGAAGTGCCAAGAACTTCAAAAAATACATGTCAATAAATAAAAAATTCGATTTATCTATACAAAATCTATTTGGTTCAAAGGCAGTCCCTTTGAAAAGCAAAATACTCATGTCTTGACATATGTTTTCAACACAATCTATGTGGTAAAACGCAAGGACGACCTAAAATATATATATTTTTTTTATTTTAATTTAAGGTATTCTAATTCTAACAGTTTCTAAAAACAATATGTTAAATTAAAATTATTGAATTACTAATATCACTATTAAGAAATATGGGTTGATGGTAGAAGGGTGAACCTGCATGTTATAACATTTTTAATGCAATTGGTATTAATATTCAGCAAAATCAGGAATATTTATACTAAATTTTTCTCAGCTAAATCAATATTTTTTTATATTGCTTGCTTACCTAACTCTTTTCTCAGTATAACCAGGTTTAAGTTCTACTTCACCTAATGCTAATCGATGTGTATATACGTGTTTAAAATGAGCAGAATACAACTGAAACCCTTTACCACAATAAGAACAAATATATGGAACTTCTCCTGTATGTATATTCATGTGTTCATTTCTCCTTCTAGCTGTCGAAAATTCTGAAAATATGAAGATTTTAGATTTTATAATAAAAAAAAAAAAAATAAAATACCTTTTTGACATACTTCACATTGATACAATTTAAAGTTTTTTGGCCTGCAGTGCTCGTGTTCCTTGTAATGTGAACACAATTTAGTTTTGCTAGTAAATGTAGTACCACATGATTTACAAACAGGTATGACACTATTCGATTTGTCATCATCATCGCTTTCAACCTTTGGTTTTCTACCTCTCCTTTTATATATTCTTAAAGATTTTGGTTCAGCATAAATACTCTTACGTTTTCTAGTTCTTCTTCTAAAAGGCTTTTCATCTTCACTATCATCTAAAAGCATAATAGTAAATTTTAGATTAACTTGACAGAAATTTGTTACCCTCATCTTTAGAACCATTTATTTCATCTTTTAAGGGCAAACAATAAGAACTATCATTATCATCACTTTCAGGCTTAACATCATCATAATCATTATCATATTCGCATTTATAGGGCTCCAAATTGATATCTAAATTGTTTAGTTTATTCCCTTCTGATTCAAGAACCAGTTTTAATATATCATTATTTGCTTTACATAATTCGGCAAATTTATAAATTTCTTGAAGATAATTTAAGCAAGTTATACAAAAATTTCCAGGCAGTTTGTCGTTTTCATGAATCTTAAAATAAAAAACATTTTAATCAAAAGTTTTAATTAGACAGAAGTTCCGCAACAATATTTTGAATACTAGAGCCTATATACAAGTAAAAGTAAGCCAATATACCTGTATTTCAGATATGCTCGTGAAAATTTTTACAAGATCAGTTTCTACGATAGGTTTAAGATCTGTGTTAATTAAACATGCCCGGCATATATTAGGAAAATCTTTGGATTCAATTTTAACGTCTGAATCCATTTTAGCTCACTTATTTTTTAGCAATATTCCATTTCTATTTGTTTTTTTAAAACAAAAAGCAAATAGTTTCAGAAAACAATCAACTATAAACTCTGAGGTTAAGTTTGTTGACATGTTGACAGTTGACATTAGACATTGGCGACTTATGTCCAGGGTTCGGAAGTAGTTAAAGTAATTTACCTGATTAACTACGTGTAGTTTTTCTTCATAAACTACGTCTTTTCCCTTTCATTAACTACATGAAAACTACGTTAATAAACTACGTATTGATATTATGAATAATTTTCCTTTGTATGAGGTGTAATAGAGATAATATAATATTTCTTCTGTTTTCTTAAATACATTATGTGTTTTTAAAGCTTCATCTTATTATAACCAAACCTTTGATATTTGAAAGTTACATACATAGGTTACATAAACTACACCCTCTACATAAATTACATTAACTACATGTAATGTAGTTTATGTAGTTTTTAAAAGTAACATGTAGTTTTTCGAACCCTGCGGTATCCATCTTTCAGAGTTGGCCACCCTGACAAGAGTTAGGTTATTGTATGATAAATAAAAACACTAACCAAAACCTCTGTCCAGTGTTGCCAGTATGGGCGCTTTAGCGCCAATTGGGCGATCTGAGACAGTGAAATGGCGCCCTAAATTTTAAATTGGCGGTGGGCGACCAGTTGGGCGCTTAGGATAAATAATTTCGGCGATTTGGGCGACCTCCTTATAATAAAAGTAAATCGCCATAAACTTTTATTATACACCTATAGGTTCCTTTTTTATTATATACCTATATCTTTTATTATATGTATACCTATAGGTATACCTAATGTTTATTACCAAACACTTTCGCTCAGATTTTCAAAATGTTATAGTTACCGCGAGCAAAAGGCAAATGAAAAATCCTCGAAATTTTGAATATCCCGTAAAAAACGATTGTACCTACCTTGTAAAAAAGTGCTTAAAGTCTCTAGATATACAGGATAAGTATTAAATAAGTGCAAATATTTTAAGGGCTGGTAGATCTCGATAAAATTTTTATTTATTATTTGTATATTTTTTTTTGTGCTTTTGTTTGTTTTGTAAACACTTTGTCGATGAAGTTATTAATTTTAGCTTTTTGTATAATAAAGCGTTGTTTATTATTATTATTATTAAAAGAAACATATATTTTCTCTTTACCGTTTTTCAAGTCTAAAATAACCGATTTATTTTACTTTGAAAATTTAAAAAAATATATTTTTTTTCTTAAATTTTGAGAACCACTGGATCTTTTCTGTTTTTTTTTTCTTGTAAATTTAATCTACTCCCTTTGTTGTCATATTATCAAGAAATTATGTTTTTTAACTAAAAAAAATTCCAAATTTTCAATTTTTTTTTCGCAAAAAACCTCATCGGTCGAAATATACTACTCCTTAAATTATTTGTACTTATTTAAGACTCACCCTGTATATATATCCAATATCTAGGGTCTTCAGTGTGCCCATAGTGGGCGATTTGGGCGATTTCTAGGGGACAATTTGGCGCTTTACGAAATAAAAATACTGACAACACTGCCTCTGCCAAAACCAAATTATTGATCAGATCAATGCCTTCTATTAAAAGATCAGCCTACGGGCGGACTTTTGTTTACTTCATCAGCTGTACATACTTAGATATTGGGTTAGATTCCGTTTCATATTTTGTCGGTTGATTTTTGGTTTTAACTCTTTGATTTTTGGTATTATTTATTATTGTAGTGCAAAAAACTAATTATTTTGGTGTTGAAGTGACATAAACTACTACCAGATATATGGTCACTCTCGGTTTCGCATAAAAAAATAGAAATTTTAAAAATTACACGTTGTGCAAGTGATTTAACCTAAAAGTGCCCATACATTTTTTACTTATCGTGATTTTTGTGTGTGTTTTTTAAGACTCTAACAATTCATCAATAAAGCTTAAGTGGAGTGTGTTATTGGTGCTATGCCTCATCTTTGTTGTGTTCCTGGTGGAAAGGATAGTTACTAAGGATAGTTATTATACTAGGCAGCCTAAAGTGTCCGGAAGAGCAAGAAAAGTGGGTACGAGTTATAAATCAAGAGAATTTTATTGAAAATATCTTTAATAAATTTAAAAATAATATTCTCCCATGATGGTATTAATGAAACTGGACAATTATGTTTATTTTATTCATATTGTGGAATCTCCACTCCAAGTGTTGCTGGTTCAGCTTCGATAGATTCAAACACGTAAGTAGGTATTATGATCTAGGGAAAAATAAAGAATATGTGTATTAGAGATCATGAAAAAGATTATTATTTTGAGTTCAAATTTTAAAAAAGATTTTTGTAAAAACAAGACTGATACAGTTTAAAAGAAGAATGTGTTTTTGTTTGATAATATATAATGTATGTTAAGCATAACATATATTTGTTCAGTAATTTTTAATGAATAGTATTGATTATTTATAATACCAAATTAATATCAAATATTTAAGTGATGGCTGAATACAATATGAATAAAATAACAATAAAATTGGTATATTTGCATAATACAAAATTAAGTTTTAAGAATAAAGGTGTTACTAAAAATACTAAGAAATTCATATTTCTTTTGTTTTAATTGGTCTAATGTTATTTACATTTTACGTAAGAATTATACCGTATCATCGAAAAAATCGGCGTCTAGTTGGCTTGAAATGAACATCGATGACATTCCCTAAATAACTGTACACATAAAATAATTAACTAGAATTTTACAATCTTGGAAAATTTGATATTCTTGAACCTTGATTCTAAATATTCTAAATTTTTTGATTTTCTTGAATTTAGGTTCGGGAAAAACGCTGATTGATTTTTTCATTTGGTTTTTCATTATTTTTATTTGGTTTAAAAAAACGGTTCGGCTAACATTATAGCCTCAATCAGTGTTGTGTCATATGAAAAAAATAGTGTCGAATATAATCCAAAAATTGCATATAAAATATGCACACCACGCACATAATGTTTACTGCGTACTCCATAGTCAATGTAGATAATTTTAGTGTTAAGAATAATAATTTTAAAAAATATGTGGTCATCTTTTTGATAAGTTTATATTAGTTTATTAATTGCAGTAAACATTATGAGGTGTGAATTATATTGTATATGTAATTTTTTGGATTATATTCGACACTATTTTTCTCATATGACACAACACTGTGAAGGCTATAGTTAGCCGAAACGTTTTTTTTTAACCAAATAAAAATAATGAAAACCAAATGAAAACTTAATCAGCGTTTTTCCCGAACCTAAAATCCCAAGAAAATCAAAAATTTTAGAATAATTTAACATATAAAATGCCAGCGATCTTCATTTCATAGCCATCGCTGACGCCTTTTTAGATAATATTGTATTATTTGTAAATATAATTTTTCGAACATTGATACTTGCAAAATATACATATAAATTTTGTGAATGCAAATAATAATACATCACTATTAGTAGATATTCAATGTTTTTTGTTAAATTAGATCGATTTTCAAACCCCAAAATTTAAAATATATTTACATTTTACGCATTATCTTATGTACCTATACATTATTTGTACATTGTAAAACATTTGCTGCATATGTATGGTTCATAGTTTATTTGCCAAAGTATTTATTACTATAAATAGGTATATATGTTGTAGTTATTAACTGTATATTATGTATATTTCATTTAAACTATATCATTTTTAAAATACAAACCAAAAATCTGAGGAATAATTATGTTTTCCATGTATTCTACAACATATTTATTAATCCGTTATATCTAACTAGCGTGACGTCATAAATCTCGCCCGTAGGCTGATCTTTTAATAGAAGGCATTGATCAGATCGAAAAAGTATGTTTATTTAGGCTGATCTAGGTAAGTTCTGTATTTTACTATATATTATGTGAAGATATTTCATTGAAGGTATTTTTTAACTCTCTCAAATTGGAAATACCCTTCTTTCTTGTTTCTAATAACTCTAAAGGAAGGTAAGAACTAGGTAGGAAGTGAATTTTTTGTTTTCATGTTATACATATTCGAGAATTGCCAGAATTACCAAGATTATGAATATATAATTAAATTTGTTTAATAAATGAAATTAAAATAGTATAAACTTTTCAAGTTTATTATCTATATAATAAACTTAAGTCTATCCTATCCAATCAAATTAGAGGGTTCTCTTGGAAAAAAGTGGTGGAAACGGTGGAACGTGCCGAAACGTAGGTAACATAAAAGATAACGTGCGGAGTATAAACTTGATTTTCATGCATCCGTTAAGCTTGATTTTCATACATAATTTTATTGGTAGAATTTAAAGATTTTGATTGGTTTGAAAATAACGCAGTTTTTAAATTTATTGCATTTTCATGCCTCCCTTTGTCGGATATACATTGGTCATAGACGTTGGTGTTATTTTATATTTTCCGTTTCCATAACGATTTTGCTTTTTTACTTATATTTTTATTATTGTTAGATTAAATTTGTCAAAAAAGTGTCAAAACGTCCGTTATCATATGAACTGGTCCGTTGACGGTCTGAAGTAAAATATTAACGGATGAAAAGTGGCGCGAAAACGCTATGACCAATCAGAACACCGTCGGACCAACGTACCAACGTATAACGGATGCATGAAAATCAAGCTTTAAGTTTGATTTTCATGCATCCGTTGTCCGACGATACGTTGATACGATATTAATTTTATTGGTTGTATTTAAAGGCTTCGATTGGTTAATCGTTTCTAACCAATCGAACCCTTTAAATACAACCAATGAAATTAATATCGTATCAACGTATCGTCGGACAACGGATGCATGAAAATCAAGCTTAAGCCGGAGTCTCATGCATCCGAAATCCGATGACACGACGGTGCTCCTATTGGTCGAAATATTTTGACACCAATTTTTATCCGATAATTTTAACTAACCGTCCGACGTCGTATAAAGTTAAATTTTGTTTAACTTTTGTACGATATCGTGTGTTTTTTAACTTCACTTTTTTTGAAAACATTTGTTTTTAAAAACAAGTTAGTGGGAAGTGGGCAATTTCGGGATATTTGGCGAGGAAGTTATTTTTATAAGTGTTTCTCCAATAAAACATGACATGAATCTCTATTCAGTGCAGCAGAAAAATGTCAAAACTGTCAAATTTCGGAACGAACTTTCGGATGTATGTGACAGGCTTTTTTTATTTCACAGGACAACTTCAAATTTCGGATGTCGTACCATCGGATTTCGGATGCATGAGACTCCGGCTTTATACGTTGGTACGTTGGTCCGACGGTGCTCTGATTGGTCATAGCGTTTTCGCGCCACTTTTCATCCTTTAATATTTTACTTCAGCCCGTCAACGGACCCGTTCATACGATAACGGACGTTTTGACAAATTTAATCTTACAATAATAAAAGTATAAGTAAAATAGCAAAATCGTTATGGAATCGAAAATATAAAATAACACCAACGTATATCCGATAAACGGAGGCATGAAAATGCAATAAATTTAAAAACTGCGTTATTTTCTAACCAATCAAAGTCTTTAAATTCTACCAATAAAATTAATATCGTATCAACGTATCGTCGGACAACGGATGCATGAATATCAAGCTTTAAAGACTCCGCACTTGTTTTCTCTCGAAATTTGACAGAAATACTGGCAAAATAAAATATTACTACGGCTTTTTTAATAATTATATTATTGCTTCATGTTTCTAAATCATGTTTTTAATATAAATCAATTCAATAATATCGTCGTCATCGGGCTCGGCATCGGTATCTACCTCGTCAAAGAGTCGTTGAAGATATTCCTGTTCTTTTACATAGTCCATAGCACACTCTAAAAATACATAATTTTGCTCAGTAATCAAGCAAACACAAATAAAAAAGAAGATACTCACCTCAAAAATGTTGCAATAAGGATAACCTGCGGAGTGTCACTCCGCAAATGACAAATATTCGAGAACTAAGAAGTGTTCTAACCTCACTATTTAACAGTATTTTCGTAACGTCAAATGCAACAGCTACTCAGGCGCAGTACGTTAAAGTCGGTAGAATTCGTCAAATATCGGGAAAATTCTGAACGCGCGGTGTCATGCTCCGCACGTTATCTCTCGAAGGCTATGGTCTTGATTTGTTCAGTTGACATGAAAAATAAGTATCCTCAAGTATCCTAGGGTAATTGTTGCATATACGGGTTTCGGCTATTTTTGGACTAAAGAGAAATTGTGTTTCTTTAAGTATTTTTTCAACCAAACAAACTTACGGGACCGGGGAGCGAATAGGGGTGCTGGGCGGGGTAAAAACAATATTCTGATTAAAGATACTCATAATACAACCATTTTACAATCCTTTAATTAAGCTTTTAATGTAAATTTTCTTCAAAAAAACTGAAAAACTGTTTTATTCAGAAATTATTGGCAGTTTACATCAGGTTACATTGAAGGATATGCTGACGGTATTGAAGGTTGAATTTTGACAAACATTAGGTACTCATACACCAGCGTTCTTTCCTGTAATTCTTTCCTTATGCGTTCTTTCTTGTCAAAAAATTGAAAGGAAAGAACGAAGGTCCAATCCCACTAACACAAACGCAATCTTGTTGAATTTCCTGTCAGTTTTTACTGTAAGACTGGCCTGTTCTTTTTTGAAGGAGTTATATTCCTTGCAAAGCCCACTAACATAAAATACCTTTCGTTGCAGTTTTTAAAGGATTTAGTTTGTTGTACTGTAAATGTGACACGATTATTAAAATTTTCCCGCTAGATGATCATTTTACTAAGGATCGTGAGATTTGACTTTTATAAAATTTGTGTTGTGCAATACAAGTAAACAAGTGGTGTGAATAATAATATTAATATTTATTTTTATTATTATTAAACTATTAATATTAAGATGAAACCTAAAAGAATAATTGCAATTGCTGTATTTAATATTGCAATTGAAGTTTTGTTTAAGAAAAAGCAGAAACGCCGCATGTGATCAAAGAAGTGGCTTCAGAAACGGAAAATGTACAGCAATATGTATCTGTTACGAGAATTACGGACAAGTGAGCCTACCGATTTCCAAAATTATTTAAGAATGGATTCTAATAACATTTGATGAACTGTTAAAATTAGTTAGTCCATACATACAAAAATTCATCGTAATTAATTCGTAAAACACTAACTAGCTAATAAATATTTAAGACTTAAAAACTACCTGGCGTTTTAACAACAGACTTTCCTAACAGGAGAGAACACACGGATATCATCTCTCAAATGAAATGACCCCAAACCACTAATACAAATTTTTTACACGTTTTATCTTGTCGGGCTGGAACGCCAGTAGATCCTGACAAGAAAGACGGAAGGTGCATGTGTCGTGCATATACCCACTAACTGGCGTTCTTTCCAGCGGGATTAGACATTCCTGCAGGAAAGAACGCTGGTGTATGGGTACCTATTGTGAATTGATGCATAGTTGTCAAATCAGCTAGTAAATTGTCCGGAATTTTTTTTCAGAGGGAAAAATGACGTCATAGGTTTTAAAATGTTTTATTTATTTTTTTACTTACTTTAGTTTAACATATTGGCTAAATCTCCACCAGCGCCAGCGGTATAGAGAATTGCTTAGTTATAGCTCTAGCAATGAAAACACACTGAGCGGGTTGATTGGTTTGGTTTTGGTTGGTTTGGTTTAGATTGGGTTGGTCTTGTTTGGTTTGATTCTTTGTTTTTTTTTCTATGTTAGAAAATGTTTTGTCTTATTTTACCAAAATTGCATTTTTCCTCAACTCAAGCTCTTTATGTTTGTCTTAACAGCATTAGAAATAGAAAATTTCTTAATTTTGAGGGCCATAAAGTGAAACGGATCCCAAATGGCACTAAGAATATAATAAACTATTTTGTAATCTAGTGAAAAAGAAGAAAACACAAAACAAAACAAAACACAAGAGTAAAACCAAAGCCATCAAAACACGCGTAACGGTCTATTTTTGCTACACATATAAAAAATTTAAAGAAAATTCAGTGGGACTGGCAACATTGCTTTCCTTTCTGTCGGTGTCATTTCAAATCAAGTGTTAAAATTCTCATAACGTCAGATAACGTCAAATATTAAATTAAAATATTTTGAAATACCGTGCATAATCTATATTTTCTCTCTTCTTTTAAATGGAAAATGCGATTTTTCTATATTTGTATGTCATGTTTTACCCAGTTTGTACGCTTTTACCCCGCCTAGCACCCCTATTCGCTCCCCGGTCCCGTAAGTTTGTTGGGTTGAAAAAATACTTAAAGAAACACAGTTTCTCTTCTCCCCCAGCGTATTTACAATCTCTAAGGTCAATAGAATGTGAGTATATAATTTTTTCCCATATAATACAAAAATAGCCGAAAACCGTATATGCAACTGTTGCACGGTTGCTCGACCGCCGCTCGACTCAGGAGGACCAAAAGATGGTAAAATTCTTGGAATTTTTTCAGATTTTCGCATATAGTTCCGAAACGTTGCGTTCTAGCCAATATTTCACTATTAGAAAAATTAAAGAACATTAAATTCTGGCGTATTATGAGTATTAATTCGTTCAATTCGGTCCAGTAGTATGGCAGAAATCGAAAGATGAAAAATGGTGATATTTACCGATTTTGACGATAAACATATTAAAGTGCCATTCAAACGTTCGTCACATAGAAATAGCCATTCTAAATAATAAACCATACAATGAAAGTTGCAGAGTCTCAAATTAGCTTTTACATCAAGTAATACATGCCGAGGAAATGAAAATGTTCGCATTCCATCCAACACTCCATGAAATTATTTAAAAAGTGGTATTCCTAATTAAACTAAAACGCATGTAGATTTAATTAACATTAAAATTATTATATATGTACTAAATTTTGTTAATATTACATAATATATAGGTACCAAGTATTGTTCTTAAACCACAATCACGATAATGTCTAGATCTTCGTGGCGTGTTCATTCTTGTAAAAAGTTTATCATTGAAATAGAAACCTAAAAACTAAAAGTTTTTTTGTCAGTAACCTTTTACTTGTAAAACAAATTTACCTAACGAAATTTTGCGCCTGGCAAATTTGTTTTGGAAGTAAAAAGCAACTTACAACACCTTGTGAGCGTTTGCATTCTACGCAGCGTTGTTTTCAATGAATCGTGGATCGTGGCATATTCTTACAAATACGCTTGGAAGTTGAGGGCCCATAGTCGCTCACATTTGGATAACGAATCTCTTTCCAAAAAATTTTCCTGTCCAAAATTTTGACAAACTTTATTTTCCCTTGTTGATACAATGATGACGTGATATCACATCCACTGAGAGCATTCAGGAACAGAATGTTTGATATTAAGTCTCTGGGAGTGTACAAATTAGTTTTCTTCCCACCCTTCCCAGGCTTCATTGTGGTGGCAATCTTTAAGGTGGTGGGTGCTAAAGCTGTGAGTAGGACCAACAGATCCGTGTCATCTCCAACAATTAGTACTAATGGATAACTCAGTGATAAGGCAATTGCAGTCAGTAACGAGGAGTCAGCATCTTCCTCTGCTACTTATATAATAAATCCTTCATCATCTAGCTTTTTATAAAGCATGCTAATTAGAAGTTTCTTATTAACGGTCTTTGGATAAGAAATGCTCTTTTGAAGTGGCAAAACTAGTAAAAATAACAGTTTTTAAACATCAATTTTAGCTATAGTCTGTGAAACGAATAACTTTGAATTTGATAGTTCCCGCGGGCTTTTATAGTGTTAATTTTATTAGGTTAGCAACTTGCGGCCATGCTGACGCAATGCTGTCTCTAATAGCCTCGGAGTGAGATTTATGACGTCACGCTAACATAATTATTCCTTATATTTGACTGTGGCTGAAATCGTACTCCATAGTCAATGTAGATAGTTTTAGTGTTAAGAATAATAATTTTAAAAAATATGTGGTCATCTTTTGACAAGTTTATATTAGTTTATTAATTGCAGTAAACATTATGTGGTTTGTGGTGTGAATATTTTATATGCAATTTTTTGAATTATATTCGACACTATTTTTTTTATATGACACAACACTGATGAAGGCTATAATGTTAGCCGAAACGTTTTTTTAAACCAAAAAAAAAATAATGAAAAACCAAATGAAAACTTAATCAGCATTTTTCCCGAACCTAAATCCCAAGAAAATAAAAAATTTTAGAATAATTTTACATTATAAAATGACAGCGATCTTTATTTCATAGCCATCGCTGACGCATTTTTTTCTATGATATTGTATTTTTTCTATGATATTGACAAAAAAAATAATGAAAAACCAAATGAAAACTTAATCAGCATTTTTCCCGAACCTAAATCCCAAGAAAATCAAAAATTTTAGAATCATTTTACATTATAAAATGACAGCGATCTTTATTTCATAGCCATCGCTGACGCATTTTTTTCTATATTGTATTATTTGCAAATATAATTTTTCGAACATTGATACTTGCAAAATATATGAACATATAAATTTTGTGAATGCAAATAATAATACATCACTATTCGTATATATTGAATGTTTTTTGTTAAATTAGATCGATTTTCAAACCCCAAAATTTAAAATATATTTTACATTTTACCCATTATCTTATGTACCTATTCATTATTTGTATATTGTAAAACATTTGCTGCATTTGTATGGTTCATAGTTTATTTGCCAAAGTATTTATTACTATAAATAGGTATATATTATATTTATTAACTGTATATTATGTATTTTTCATGTAAACTATATCATTTTTAAATACAAACCAAAAATACGAGGAATACCGTTTTCCATGGATTCTACAACATATTTATTAATCCGTATCTAATTAGCGTGACATCATAAATCTCGCTCCGAGGCTGTTCTATTAGAGACGGCATTGGTCTGATATTTAGAAATGTCAAAAGCGGATGACATTTTACTTTTGACAATTATGCCATTTCGTGTTGATTTTTGCAAGAAGA